TCTCGGCTCCGATCGTGCTCGTCCAAGATCTCCTCCTGCAAAATCTCCTCGATCACGTCCTCGAGCGTGATGATGCCTAGGGCATGGGCGGGGGCAGAGTGAGGTTCAGCACCACGGGCAGTAGGAGTGAGGCATACCCCCGACTTCTGCTCCCCTCTCTGGGCAATGGCCTGGAGTCAAGCCACAACTCCCGCTCTCCTCCTCTGCCTCGTCTCCTCCATCTTCCGCCCTCCCTCCCTGCCCCTATCCCTCCCTCCCACCTAGGGGCGCGGCGTCTCCCTTGAGGGAACGGCCCTGCTTGATGTTCTCAAGAGCCGCCTCCGGATCCCAGGCGACCACGGCTAAATGGCTGCGTCCCTCTGGTCAGAAAGAGGAAGGGGAGAGAGGGGGGGAGGGGAAGAGGGAGAGTGCGGGTGGGAAGAGGGTTTCGGGATGGAAGCCCGCTGGCAAGGAGAGGGTGCGACTCAGGGAGAACAAAGAGCAGTGGCAGAGAAAGAGAAAGAAAAGATGGACAGACGACGGGACGGGGGGGGATGACCTTGGAAGGTGTTGAGGAGGTCGATGAGGGGGCAGAGGGGGGAGACGACGAGGGGCAGTCGGAGGGCCAGCGAGCCGACCCTCCGACGGGTAGCCGGCTCCAGGACGATCAGGCGTTTGACCAGGAGGAAGCCGCGGAGGAAGGAGCGGTCTGAGCCTGGGGGAGGGGACGGGCGAGAGAGGATGAACAGAGGGAGGGGAGGCGGAGGGGAAAGCGACGCTCCTTACCTTCGTATACAGGGATGCGAGAGAACCCGCTGGACATGATCATCGCCTGCAGTGGGGGCGTGGGAGAGGAACGCGAGCTTTGAATTACGAGAGACTGGTTAGCTTTGCTCGCGTCTCAGGTCCCTTCGATCCCTCCCTCCCTATGCCCTCCCTCCCTCCTTATGCCTCCCTCCCTCATTCCTCCCCGGCACCCCACCAGCATAGAGGCGTCAAGAGCGTCCTGCGTCGAAAGGCAAAAGACCTTCTCCATGGGCACCAGGCAGTCCTGCACAGTCTTGGAGGCGATCTTCGGGGGCGAAGGGGGGAAGGGAGGGCGTGGGGTGACCATCCCTCCACCTCTAGGGGAGCCACGGGAGACCTCGCTTCCTCCTCTTCTAAGTCGCCTCTCTTACCTTCAAGACCCCCACCACGATGTCCACCTCGTCTTGCGAGAGGAGCGCGTCCTTCCCTGCATGGGCCTGCCGGTGCTGATTCCCTCCTGGGAAAAAGGGAGGGAAAGAGGGGAAACAGGGACGGGTAGAGGGAAGTCGTCTGAGACGGCAGCAACCCACACATCGGCCAGTAGTGCCCGTGGACGCGTGGAGCGCGGGCCCCGAAGACGATACGAGAAGGGCGTGAAGTCAAAAGAGGAACACAGACTCCAGCGCGCAAGCGATCAAGGAGGGTGGGAAGGGGCGAGGAGGGCAGGTAGGGAGGGCACAAGGGACGGGCCGACCCACCCTTTTTCCCGCCAGCGCCCTGAGAGCCGGCGCCAAGGTCCTGGGTGGGATGGGAGAGGGAGAGGAGGCCGGCTCGGGCGCTGGTAGCGGAGGACGCAGTCATGTAGGCGTGGGCGGAGGCGTGCGTGCCGTTGCTGTTCGAGCGCCCCGGTCCACTCGAGACGATAGAGATGTTGCGGCGCTTGACCTCCTGTGGGGGAGACGTGAGAGGAGGGCGGTATGAGGCCCGCGACGAGTCCCCCTGGTGCGAGGAGATCGAGGGAGGGGAGGGCAACGAGGCTCACTTGATGTATCTCAATGAGCGCCGAGAGCTCCGCACGATTATAACGCTTGCGAGGATTGTGACTCCCAAAGAAGCGGTCCAGGAGCCAGGACAAAGGGTAGGAGATGGGGGAGAGGACGAGCATGAGGAACCTAGGGGAAGGGTTGAGGAGAGGGCAGGGTGAGGGGGGCCTACAAGGAACGGGGAGGAGGCCCACGTACCACACAAAGGACGCCATACGAGCGGCAATCTGGAGCCAGAAGGAGGCCAGAGCGTGTGTCGTGGTGTGAGAGCAGGAGCGAGGGAAAACGAAGGAGGAGGATGGATAGAGATGTCGACCTGTCGGCGACCTCCGCCGTGCACCTACCTTGAGTTGATTGGGCCCGCTGAAGAGCGCAGACGGCAAAATCTCCCCAAAGATCAGGACCATGGTCACGGAGAGGAGGACGGCCACGTAGGACGGGACTGGAAGCGAGTGGAGGGAGGGGAAGGGGGCAGGGAGGGAGACGGGAAGTGAGAGCGGCCTGGGAAGATCCTCGCTGCCTGCCCCGGGCCTCGCACCCCTCAGCCCCTACCCAGTCGGTCGAGGAAGAGAGGCAACGTCTCATTAGCCGCCGAGTTGTAGAGGAGGAGGGTGACCAGCAGGTAGTGGTGGCGCTGGATGAGGGGGAGGACCACGGAGGCCTGTCGGCATTCCTCCGCCGTGCCCACGCGCTGCTTGATCTCTAGCTCCAGAGGGTCGATAGACTGTGACCAGGGGCAAGAAATGGAGGACTTTATGTAAGGAAAGACGAGGGGCGCCTGCATCCCCGAGAAAAAGATGGGCCGCCTCCACAGGACAGAGGGCTCTCCCGCTCCTCTCCCTCACGCACCATTAAGCCGATGGTTAGACCGGCCGCTATCGCCGCGCAGAGAACACAGATGAAGGAAAAAGTGAGGTTGAGGACGTCGTCAGGGTCATGGAACGACGCGAACCCGCCGCTGGTCATTTCCGCGTGAGGCATTGGAGGGGCGGGAGACGGTGCGGGCCCTGGACTCTTCAAAGGCGGCCCGGGCACTGCGACGGGGAGGGAGAGTCGCGGGGGACGAAACCGATGTCTTGGCACTTCTTCCAAGCTGAGAGGTGCGGAGGAGTCAACGGTGCCTAATGAGGTGGAAAAGATCTTCGCGAGGCCAAAACAGACATTATCGTAGGTTTGGATGGGACGGGTGAGAAAAAGGGAGGTGAAGCTCTTGGGAAATGTTGCTTCGAGCAGCGTCACGCACTGCTGTTGCTGCTGCAGCGCTTCATGTTGCTGCTGTTGCTCGTCTCGTTGCTGCTGATGGTGGCCTTGATCATGGACGAGGTGGTTGCGAGGCGGGAGATGCTGCGTCCCCGCTCTTTCCAGAACTGGTGATGCAGGACTGGCGCGGGCTGAGGCACATTTCTCCCCTAGCGCAAGCACCAAGAGGAACCAGTAAATGAGTCTTTTTACCTCACTCTTCCTTTGCTGATCATGGTTGGCTTCATTCATGGCCGCGGGAAAAGCATATTGCAAGCCCTCCTCTTGGCTTACCAGGGCGTACTTTTTGTATGCGTTTCGACTAGCCTGCATATTGGTCGGTTGGCATGGGAACGTATTCTCAATTAAATGTAATGACGAATTGTCGAAGGAGAAGTGCCCACGCTGAGAGCAAACAAAAAGAAGTGTGCGGGAGGCAGGGAACAGACAAATAAAACACGTGGGAGGGCACTTGGAGAGAGGGAGCTCGGCCGAGGCGAGAGACGGCGAAGAACGCGTTTGGTCTAAAGGCTTCCACCTTGGCGTGAGAATTTTCGATATCAAGAAATTTGTTTCCTCATTGCACGTGCATATTAAGTTTCAACGTTAAATTCATGCCCACAACTTCTGAAGTACCGTGCGAGCCTTTCTTTTGGTAGAGTTTTCCCCACCGTGCTCGCCCGTCCATCCAACAGGCTTTTGAGACAGCTGTGAAGAGCTATGGCGGCAGACAACCACGTTCACGAGGATGAGAGTAATGATGCAGTTACGCCCCTTGGTGCTCCTTCTTCATCTGTCCCTTCTAGTCTCCTGGACTTGCCGCTCCATCACATGCTACGCACGCTTCAGCTCCAGCATGGCCTGCGTCATGGAGACTATCAACGCTACCGACATTACCTAAATCGCCGCCTTGCTCGTCTTCGGAAGGGGGTCAACGCAACTCACAGGGGTGGCAAGGCTTTTGAATCCAAGAATGTTCACAGCTTGGCCTATTTGGAAGGCGATCCATCCGCTTTGAAAAAGGAGCATCTGCTGCTTGTTCTCCTCAACGCTGAGCGTGCCTGGGCCTTTGCCATGCACCTGCAACAAGACGCAGCAGGCAATCAACACATGCCCAGCTACGTCCGATCACATCTCTTACGTCGTCTTCGCCGGGCGGGTGTGTGGGCGGCGCGATTATTAGGGTTAGTAGAGGACGCCAGCGATCAGGTCACGGAGCGCACATCTCTGGAAGTGCAGGCATACGCAGGGTGGATGGGGGCCGCGGTCGATGTGGAGCAGGAAGAGTGGGGCCACGCTTTAGTGAAGCTACGCACCGCACACTCTATTCTCAGCCAGTTGGGCGAGCTGGGTTCGTTGGAGGAGCAAGACTTGTTTTTAAGCAAGGCAGACGAGGTTCTCCAGTCGGCACGCTACTGTCAGTACAATTTGGGGGAGGGCTCTTTCGAAGACTTAAATCTAGATGTGGATACGAATGGAGCGACAAAAAATATTCCCGAGGCACTGGTGGAGAAGCTGAATGCAGTCAAGGAGGCTTCGCGGGCTGCGGCAGCCACGGGCTTGGAGACGGTTGAGTGGGGGGGACGGCAGCTGCACGTCTCAAGCAAGGAGGTTAGGCTCGCCTTGATCAAGCTGGAAGAGGCTCGCACCGCTTTGGACTCGTGGCTGAGATCGATGGCGGGTGCCAAGGTAAAGCAGGGCGTTGGGGGGGGGGTGAGGGAAGAGCCCTACGCCGCTGTCTTAGCGGCATATGGCGATGCTCTACAGCGGGTGGGCGAAGAGGTGAGCAAACTCCAAAACATGAACTCGGGATCACGTGTCGAGGCACAGAAGGACAATCTCCGGCTTTTGATGAGTTATCTCAAGCACGGGAAGCTCGAGACGATGCGAGTACGCAGCGAGGAGTTGATTCAGGCCATTCTGTGTGGGGGGGACAGGTCAGGCAAGCGGGGCAGGCCCGAGGACCTGGTGCATATCCTGGAGGGACTCATGCAGACAACGGCCGAAATGGAAGGTCTTCCAGGAATAGAGGATCTAGAATCTGTCTTGACGCGCGCGCAGACGCTGCAGGCGCTCTATCGAGTGCAGAGGCTCTTTTATCTGGGCGAGTTTCACGCAACCAACTCGCGCGGGAAGGGGCACTTGGCCGCCATGGCCTTATTTGAGCAAGCAGAAGAGCTTGGGAGGGAGGTAGAAGTTCTGGCGCAGGAGATGGTGGCGGAAGAGGGATCGTCTGAGAAAGAGGAGTTGCTTGAGCGGGCCGGAATAGTTGTAAATATGGCGCGAGGTGGGTGGTACCGTGCTCGTACCTCGAAATTTATGGCATCCTTGCCTCTATCGACAGATGGCGCAGCTGTTGAGGACAAAGAGACGGCTTTTGTGGCCTCGGTTTTGATGCTTTCCGTGTCAGCGCAGGCAAATCAGACAACAGGGTTGCCAAGTACACTCGAGAGGAATAAGGGCAGGAAAGAGGCACAGGAATGTCGTCGAGAAAAGGGAAAGAACGGAGAAAACCGGAAACAGATAAATGAAGATGTAAGAGTTTCACAGGCGCAGCAGGCATTCCGGATGCTGTTGGACCGCCTCGGAGATTTGGACGCAGGGATGGAGTCGAGTGACTTTAGTATCTCTCATATGCCCCCAGTGATAGCACCTGTGCGGGCCAAACCGCAGGTTTTCGACATAGCCTTCAATTTTTTGGAGGAGCGTTTGCCGAGTATGGCAGCAAGTGCAGGGGTTTCCCAGACGTCAACTCGGGGAGCGGGGAGTGGTAGCAAGCGAGATTTTTTTGGATGGTTAAGAGGCTAATATTCGTCAAAAGAAATCAAATGTGATCATGTGTCAATGGCTTGATGTTTCGGGGAGAGATATCAATAGTACTGCATATTCAAGGTTTATGACGTATCAACCTACCCCTAGAAGAGCTAGGAATGAGTGATCAGTAGTTTTAACATTCATTTACTATGCTTTTGCGTTTCAAGACGGGAGCTAACAAGTCCATGATCGAGAAATGTGAAAAAACCTAGTGATTTTCAAATAGAAAGCGGTGTGTGTTGTCGATGAAAGTTTTGCGCGTCCGACGAAAAAAAATATTCGGTAAATTAAGGATTTTACAAAAGGAATGACTATGAATATCAAGAATTTGTAAGATTTGTTAGGGTTAGGGTTAGGGTTAGGGTTAGGGTTAGGGTTAGGGTTAGGGTTAG